CCCCCCCCCCCCGCCGGGTAATATACCATCGCCGCCCCTTTTATTGCGGCCCGGAGGAAGAAAATTGTAGCTTTTTCTTCTTGATGCTGTGCGGAGGTTCACGATTCTAAATACTCCGGTTTTGTTTGCCTTCTTCCTGTGTGGCCCGCCCCGGTTGCCGTGTAACCTACCGTATATGACACAAGATAACACACCCCCTTGACCAATTTTCGAAGCTCGATTTCTCAACTGCAGGAACAGTCACAGCGCCGAAAATGGCGGCGTTGAAACCGTTTCGTCGAGAGTTTTTCGAAAATGTATCGTTTCGTTTATGCATCCTCTTCGTGGAGTAATCGAGCTTTGAAATCGGTCCAGGGGGTGTGTTATCTTGTGTCATGTACGGTACATACCGAAAGGTGTAGGCTCGCGCCTAGAATAGACTGGACGACAGCACAAGAAGTAGACCAATGATCATCCGGAGTCGCGGTATTTGTAGACGTTTCGCGTGTGGAGCTCCGCACGAACTGGTTATGATCTGGATAAATATCAAAATAGCTACATGTTTTTGTGATCCCGCTTGTCGGTTTTGCACCACTGACGTGTGCATCGTGTGACGATTCAACGACGGCCATGCTGCATGACGTCATCATCATTCCGCGGCGGCACACGTGCCCGCGACGATCAGATCGTGCTGCCGACGTTGGCCAAGCTGCTGGGGGACCCTCAGGCGGAGGTGCGGCAGGCGGCGGGGGAGAGCCTGGTTGGAGTCGCCAACCTCATGAAGCCGATCGACCTGGGGCATCACGTCCTCACGATCGTTCTTCAGCTGGCGCACGATGACGAGCAGGTAGCATTCGAAACATAACTCGTGGAGATTTGTCTGTTATGGGCCCTGACACTTACTGTAGCACTTCTACCGTTGATTCGCCTTTGCCGAGGTCAACCACGAATGCCTTCACGTTGGCCGGGTTGACAAAGATTCTATCCAGAAGGATGGAGAGCGTCGAGGCGGTGCCCGCAACCGCCGGCGCTCGCACCTCTTCTTCCCGGTGGCTTTCGAGCGCCGAACTTTCTCCAAAATACATGATTAAAAAAAATAAAAAAAAATATATATATATGGTTTGCTGCTCTGACGGTGACGAACAGGTAACAATGAAGCCGCAAACTAAAGTCGCTGTGGTGGTTGCCGGGGTTGTTGCCGGTGCTGGTGCAGTGTTGTTGCTTTTCGCGAGATATTTCTCCGGGGGCTCGCTTATTGGAGACCCTTGGTTCTTGTCCTTCGCCATTTGATCTTGATGTTGCAGGTTCTATTCACACCTCTGCTCAAAATCGAACACAAATGTATTCGTTGGTTACATCAAGGTACACCCCTCGAGCATTATATATTGCTGCTCCGGCGGCCGCTTCTTTTTTAATGGCGGTCGTGTTTTTGTCAGATTTTTGTCATTTTCTGCTCTCGCTACGTCGAAGGCGCACAATTAGGAGTTAGACCTACACCTGTTGCTGTTTATCCTGATCGTTTGGCCTTGGTTCACCCATCTTGGGCACCCCCTCGGTCTGATCCGGCTCGCGTATCTTGTCTTGCTATTGTACCCGGGGGTCGGGGTGATCCACCTTGTCGGGTCTTGTCGGCTGTTTCAACTGGTCAGGTCTTCGTCCGATCCCCTCCGATGCCGATGTCCTGGTACTGGCTGTTCATACGTAGATCTGGCTATGTCTCTCCCCAAGTTACCGCGCTACTTCATAGCACGGAGCCTGTTGATCGGTCTTGTTGCTAATGCTGCACCTGTCCTATCCATTTGCTGAATCTGGTTGGTCGATGCCATGCGTTCTGATTTGTTCCCCAACGCCACTCGATTGCAACAATGTGGTCCACCCATTGCCAGGATTGGTCTCATGACATATGGGCATACTGCACTGCTGTAGTTCCTGGTACTGGTGTACGTTGTCCTTCGATTTTTTATTTTTTTATTTTTTGTGGGAATATATATGTGTTTGTTTTTCGCCCCCCGTCTTGCTGCACCCCCTGGGGTGTGGTGCAGGGCGGGGGATGCCTGGTCGGCGGGAACCCGGCACGGAACCCTCCGGCGTTGTAGGCGGGTGTGGGAAGCGTTCCCCGTTCTCCTTTTATTTTATTTTGATCGGTCTCCTCGACGCTCTTTCTCGTTTGGTGCGGTAGCTGGTCTTTCTTTCTATCATTTTGTTTCTCTTCCGAGTGGTTTTTGTACCCTATTTTTTTTCTGTTTCTTCGTGGGGTCGTGTATGCCGGGTTTGGAGACCACGGGCTCCCAATCTTTCTTTTTTAGAGCCAATGTGAGAAACAACAACAACAACAAATATATGGGCGGTCCTTGTCCGTGTCTCTTTTCGGCAACATGATCTGGGGGATGGGTTTGCGGCGGCGTTACAAATTTGATACTGTGCTGCTGTACCCTATTGTGTCGGACACGATCTGATGATGCACTGCTGTACCCTATTTTGTCGGACACGATATGATGACGCCCTGCTGTACCCTATTTTGTCGGATACAATCTGATGGTGCACTGCTGAACCCTATGTTGTCGGCAGGAGGAGTTGCGCATGACGGCGGCGGCTTTGTTGAACGATCTGGCCGATGCTCTCGGTTACGACCTTTGCAAGCAGTTCGTCACCCCTGAAATGGAGTCTCTATCAGAGGTGAGTCATTTGGTTGTCCTAACAAGATGTCTGCAGGTAGGATAACACACCCCCCGGACCGATTTTCAAAGCTCTATTTTTTTCGATTTTTCCACAGCAGAAAGCGCCAGAAATTCCGGCGTTGAAACCTTCTCGTGGAGAGCTTTCCGAAATCGTGTAGCTTCGTGTCTGCATCCTCTTCGTCGGAGAGTAGTTGTGTTGAACTTTTGGTTGGGGAGTTGTGGTTTGTGGTGTCTTATGTCATGTACCCTACGGTGAGCGTTTTCTCACAGTGCCCAAGACAGCCGCAATATTTTCGCGATGCGATACACAGGCCGTTCGAAAACCACATATTTTTCGCCAGGCACCCGTAACACGGGACAGCAACACAACCCGCACCACCCTTTGAACCAAATACCCAAAACTATGAAAGAAAACGGCTCGATTTCACACCTATAGCTTACCATGGTACCTGACTATCAGGATCCGGTGTGCCGAGTGCGAAAGGCGACGACGTGTGCTGATTTTGTAAACCGCCCCCGCCCTTAGATGTGGGGTATCGGTTAAGTGGTGGGATGACGAGCTGAAAGAAGAAATAGGGGAACGTAGAGAAGTCTTCAAGCAGTACCTGAGTGAGGCGTCTGAGGAGAGTTGGGAAAAGTATTGGGCCAAGAGAAAAGAAGTGAAGGGACTAGTGAAAAAGAAGAAAAAGTGTATTTGGGACGAAGTAGTGCAGAAGGCCAACGGAGGCCTGGAGGG